GAGTTTGTTAATCTGAGATATTCTTCTCATACTAACATGCCCCAATCTTCTGCGCTAGACCCATTGTTCATCGTTAACAGACAATAGGCATTTTACATTCTGACTTTTCAGTTCATAAAGTTTTATTTTGTAAATGTTGTTCTTTCTCTTTCCATTAAAGAGGATAGATCCATCTTTCTGACTAACTGTTTTACAGGACTTTTGATTGAAGATTATATCATAACTGTTATCACTTAATTGACTTATGGATAACAAGTTATGCATTAATCCATCTACTAACAGAACATTAGTTATAGAGGGAAGATTATCGTTACCAATAGTTCCAGAGCCAATGATCTTCCCCTTCTGATTGCCTCTGAAACCTACGTAGCCTCCAGATTTAAGCTCCAGGCTTTGGAACATATGCTTTCTTCGCATCATGTGTTGAGAGCATCCAGAGTCCAGGTACCAGGATTGGTGTTTCAGTTTTGCTGTCAAAGATATATGAAACATAGACAATTTTATCCTTAGGTACCCATATCTTTGTGGGTCCTTTTTTATTAGAGTTACCCAAATTCTGTTTGAATTTTAGTTTAGCAGAGAAATCATTACTAGTATACTTTAAGTCATGTGTGTGCCCATAGGTAAAGTGAGAATTTAGAGGAGTACACTTAATAACCAAATCCTTAACTTTATTAGGTTGGGATGCTTTACCTTTGTATCCTATACCTTTTCTGCCATTTCTACTAACTCCATAGATCATTGAAGCCATCTTGCTTCTATCTATGTTTTTAGAGAGGAATTTCTGAAATCTACGATCATATTCCTTTATGATCTTATCAGGGTTACTAGGAAATTATGAGATAGTTTCCTTCTGAGTATTTTATAATTCATTTTCAAGTTTTGAATTTTTTTCTTTCGGCTCAGAGTTTTCCAATCTCAGATTCTTAGTTTCTTCAGTGTCAGAAACTAGATCCTTTTTCAGGTTCTTGTTTATGACTCGAAGTTTCTGATACCTTTCTAGAATTTCTGACAGACTCTTTTATAATTAAGATCAAGAAAAGTTAGAAAATACCTCTTCTGCCTTTGAGTCTGATTATGATTAGATGATTCGATATCTTCTGATATATTGGCCATAAGGGCAATGTTGGCTCTTTCATCTTCTGATTTTGTGTCTGCTTCAGAAGAGTCTGAGTCATCCCATGTTGCCATGAGACTTTTCTTCTTCTCCTTAAAGAACTTCTTTTTAGGTTTCTCCTTCTAAAGCTTTGGACAGTCTCTTTTGTAGTGCCCTTGTTCATTGCATTCGTAGCAGACAATGTCTCTGTTTCTTGACTTTATGTATTCAGGAGATGGTTCAGACTTTCTGTATCCAAATGATGATTCAGACTGATTCCCTGTTCTTCTGGAATTTCTGAACTTCCTTTGCTTGTGCTTCCACAGCTTATTGACTCTTCTGGAGATAATGGATAATTCGTCTTCTTCTGATGAGGATCCACCAGAGTTTTCTTCTATTGCCCTCAAAACTTTAGGTTCATATTTTTTGGTAGATTTAAGGGCTAAAGGATTACCTTGCTTCTGGGGCTCATCATCTTCTAACTCTATATCATGACTTCTGAGAGAGCTGACAAGTTCTTCTAGAGAGATTTTGTTCAGATCTTTTTCCAGTTTGAGAGTAGTGACCATGGGTCTCCATTTCTTTGGTAAACTTCTGATGATCTTATTTACATGATCAACAGTTGAATACCCTTTATCTAGAACTTTTAGCCCAGTAACTAGAATTTGAAATCTTGAGAACATTGTTTCAATGGTTTCATCTTCTTCCATTTTGAAGGCTTCATACTTCTGAATGAGCGCGAGGGCTTTGGTTTCTTTGACTTACGTGTTGCCTTCATGCACCATTCTCAAGCAATAAAACATGTGCTTTGATGTCTCTCTGTTTGTGATCTTCTCATACTGAGTATGAGATGGCACTCAAGAGAGTAGTTCTGGCCTTGTGATGATTTCTGAAGTCTCTCTTTTGATGATCTGACATTCTTTTTATGTCAATCTTCTGACTGCTTTCATCAACAGGATGTATGTACCCATCAATCACCATATCCCAGAGATCAGTGTCATGATCCAGAAAGAAACTTTCAATTCTGTCTTTCTAGTAATCAAATTTCTCTCCATTAAAGATTAGAGGATTGCAGTTGATTCTGTCTTTCTCATCATGATAGTCATTGCTGATGTTCTGACTTGGCCCCACCATAGTGTTTTTCTTAGCTTGGATCTTTTACTGACACGATTAAGTGCTTGAACTCAGAACCAGGCGCTCAGATGCCAATTGAAGAATGGAAAAACACAAGAAAGGGGGATTTGAATTGGGATTTTTAAAACTTAAAGTAAAGAACAGGTTGGTTATCTTGGTCCGTTTGAACTCAAACTACTCCAGTCCACTCGCCAAGGTGATTTCGCCTCTCTCAACGAGGTCTTAATCCACTAATCAATCTTGATTACAAATCTACTTTGACAATCGTCAAAGTCTTCTTTATTATAAACCACAAACCGGTTTTTCTCAAGGAATTTCTATAAACAATGTATGAATAAAAGTGTACAATAGTGTTTCTAATAAAACAATATCACAAGACAAGTGATGTTTTTCACAGTTTGAATGTTGAACATTTGAGGATGAAAGTGATAGTAGCGTTACTGTGCGTGAGAAATCGTAAACGATTTATCCTCAAAGCTTGCTTAAATAGGCGAAGCATGAAGGAGCATTTGGAAACTTGATCAATGACAATTAAAGTGCTTTCCAAAAAAAGATCCTTCTTCCCTTCCATCTGTTACTCTTGAAATGGAAATATTTGATTTGTAACGCTTCAGAACATGCCTGCTTCAGAAGATGGAAGTAACCGTTGTTGCTTGCTTCAGAACTTTGTAGATCAGAAACACGGAGTCCTGTTTACAACGTTAGAGCTTCTACCAGAGATGTTTATAATTAGAGTTGAAATAACATTTTAGTGCATCTTCCGATCTTCTTCCATTAGAACTTCTATACAAAACAGAATATAATTTTAGGGAGCATTATTGTTCTTTGCATTTTTTATCATTAAAACTCTTACAAGGGTTGTAGAATCAAACTATGTTCTAACAAAGGAAAGTTATATGTCGATGCATAGATGCATGTGTCGACATATAATGGTTAAAAAATATTTTTTCCTTTTCTTTTTACACTGGTTTTATATTCTCTTCATTGCTATTCAATATCATCGTAATAATTAAGCTTATTTCATCCTCATTTGTAAATTGCACCCCCATCCCCCTAATGATGTAATAGCGTAGGATTTTAATTTCCTCAAATTTATAGTTTTCATATATTTGTTAGTAATTAGGGTGTGTATGGCAAGATAAAATCAACGTTAGAAAATCCTAATCTCAAAGACAAAAATGCATGCAATCAAAACACAATTCACACAAGCACCTCTAGGATAACCTCGCTTGTTTCCTAGGAAAATAATCATGTCCCTCGAATATGGGACGTTTTAGCAAAGACCCTGAATAAAAAGATCGTAGTCCCTCGATGACCCTTCGATGTTGCCTTCGGTAAAACGATCTTAGTCCCTATGAAAATTTCTAAAGAGTCTCATAAGTTGCCTTCTATGACTATACGACGACTCACTCTCGTCCCTTCACACCCAGTAATGGGGCTTCTTACCAATCAATGGTAAGATAGAAATATCTAAAGGGGGAGGAAAGGAACAAAGACCTTTTGAGTAGGTAGGACGCTCGTAGTTGCTTGCTCACAAACTAAAACCATCTCCACACTGACATTTTCAAAACATCTTCAAAACAAACATCTCTTTGAACTATTTTCAAAACCAACACTTTCTATACATTCTTATAGAGACGAGAATAATTACAATGTTTTCCGAAACAAAGGCATTTTCAAAATATTTTCAAACTTACACCAATCACAAACATATTTCAAATAAAGAATTTTCAAAGTGATCAAGCAACTAAGAGCCCGTAGATAACTACAGATGAAAAGGGTGCTAACACATTCCCTTTTCATAACCTACCCCCCGAACTCAAGAAAATATCTCAAAAGATCTCTCCTGTTCTTTCCACCCTTTCCTTTATTGGATAAAAGAAAAGTCGATGGAGACTCTTGCTATCCGCAACATTTGCGATAAAACGCAAAATACCCAAGTCAGTTCTCCCACCGTATTACAGGGGATAGTTATTTTAAATAAGGTGTGGACAAATCTTTTTTTATTCAAGGTCCAATAACCGAAATAGTATGGCCCGTTTCAGTTTTTGGGCTTTGTTTTGAAAAATGTTTTGTCATAACATTTTTGTTATTATTACTAATATTTTTATAATAATTATTAATAATCATATTAAAAACTTAGTTAGAGATTAATTTATGTTTATTTGATTCAAGGGGGAGGTGTTGATAATAAGTTTTCCTTTTTAAATAAAAAAGGCCCAGCCCAAATCGAGTTTTTTGTTTGGCCCAAAGGTATAGAAGAAAAAAGAAGTGATTAAACTGTTTTGTTAATTTCTAAAAAACGCGGCCTATCACCATTCAAAAACTGCTTGGCCCAATAAATCTAACAGAGGCAAATCACAATTCAAAATGTATGGCCCAAAAACACAACAAAACTATTATTGTTCAAATCATAGGAAGATTAAGTAACCCTTTTTCATTCTTTGTTTCAGAAATCGAATGGCGTAATGCGAAATCAGTAAATGCAAAAATAAATCTTCTTTCATTGAAACAAAATCAAGAGCAAGTAGTTGCAGAAATTGAATTGAATTTATTACCAAGAGCAACATAAAGATATTTCCTAAACAGCAAAACCTTAAAAAAGAAATTACATTCAAATCAAATTATTTTGTTTCCATAAAATTTCCTTCCTAAATCACTATAAGAAGAACGAACCACTATCGAACCACTATCGAACTGTCACATCTCCCACACATTAATGAAAACATCCATTTCCGAACAACCTCTCTCCGCCTTTACTCCCTCTGCGCCCATGCCTCCAGCAATCTAAAATCGCAACCTTCCAAGCGCAAGCGCCCAAATTTCGTGACCACCTAAAATAGAGAAAGAAGAAGGAGCAAAAGATTAGAAAAGAAAAAGAAAGAGGATCGTATTTTAAGAGGAGATAAAATCTGAATTTTGTTTCTCTCTCTTATATTAAGGTGTGGTGTTTTATTGTTTTTAATACTTTTTTCTTTTAATTAAAATGACACGTGTTTATATATTATTGGACAAGAGGTTATAACTTGAAAGTTCCAAATATTGAAGGGAAGGACATCTGCCGCTGCTTCTTTGCTGTTACCATTTTCTTTTTTTATTATTCTTTCTTAATTGTTTTATAGAATTAGGGTTAGTTTATAATTGCATCATGGGCCTAAGTTTTCTATCTCTTATTTCTTAAGTTTTTAATACACCCCATATTTTAACCATACACCCACTAATCCACTTTTTATTTTTTTTTATTTTAGTCATTCTATCTAATTAAGTTAGTTTCTTTACTTCAATTAACTTAATTTTTTTTATTTTTTTAATTGTTAATTAAAAACAATAAAGAGTCTAAAAAACAAAAAATATATTTATTAGATTTATTATATTTTTTAGGTTAATCTTTAAATTAGAAATTATACGTAAATTCTAATATTTTTTTCTAATTTACTTAATTCAAACACAAATAATAGGATGTCTATCTTCGAATAATTAAATGGGTCTAACATCGTCTACCGATTTATTATTCAAAATCAAATAATTAAAATTCACGTGATTCACCTAATAATTTATCTGCGAATGACGCGTGATCAATATCTGGTCACGTGATGAGGAGACTATATCAGACTCCCCGCTCTACGTCTAAAAAAAGAAAACTTTCAACCAAACATCAAATATTTTTTTTGCAAATCAAAATTAATTTGAACAATTAATTTTCGAAAAGGAATACGAATATATTTCGCGGTCCATAAAAAACACAAATAAACCGTGAACTACAAAACGGGACTCCGATTTATCCTAACAGGATACGTAGGCATACAATCAAAAATCGTGACGAGTCCCGCTAACTAAAATTCAAACCCTTTTCCCCTAATAATACTAAAAAAACCATATTTCCCAAGAACGCGCTTCTAAACCTAGTATCCTTGTGAACAAGGTAGAGGAGGGTGCCTAACGCCTTCCCCTCGTCTAGAACCAAGTCCAAACCTAGAATCTCTGAATTTCTTTTAGGATTATTCCTTTATACTCCCTTCCTGTAGGATAAAAATTAAGGGTGGCGACTCTGATTTAAAAACCAGTTGAAACAGCTGGAGACTCTGCTGGGGACTCAACCCTAAGTTTAGAAGTCTTGTCCTTTAGTTTTAGGGTTTTTAGGGTTTCTTATTTTTGGGTTTCTTATATTTGTTTAATTATTGTTTATTTATTTTATTCATTTATTAATTTTTTATTTTTATCTTATTATTACTCATTATATTTATTTATTTATGGTGGGGTCTAAATTTCGCAAAAATTATTCTCAATACCCTTAAAAAGAAGGTTCATCTATTAGTCAAGGGGTTACATCATCCCTATGAGTTTATGTGGCGACTTCACCTAGAGTCGATGGAATTCCACAAAAGGAATACCTCTCAAGAGACATCCTCTTGAGAAGCGGGACTTTGGAATGACACATATGACTCTTTGTACGACCTTTAAACCAAAAACTCGTGATGAGACCTTTCATGACCTAGAGATGAAAGTTTCGGTATGCAAAGAGACTCCACTTATGAGAGGCCCTTACGCCTTTCCCTCTAGTGTCATTCAGGATACCCTTAAGGAAAACCACATTATGGGGAGGGTAGAATATTCGTAGGACAATACTAAGAACCTACCTTCTAAGGATACCTTTCACAAATCCTACCACAATCTTTAAACACACAAGGGCTATCCCTTTTTCCACTGCTATCTATGGCCCGTAGGGCTTCCGCCCTTATCATCATCCATATCCTATAGGGACTCCTCATTGACCATAATTACCAAGGTATTCCTACCTATCTCAATATCTAAGACAATGTAGGAAATCATCAAATTCATGTCTATTATCATCTTCGTATGTAAAGACTCCCTGCCTGTCTCAATTTATGGGTCAGAGTAGGATATCATCATCAAACCTGTATAGGATACCCTTACGTCTACCATTATACTATATCTACGTCACATTGCATATCCATGAAACACTTTTTCATACCCAAGCATTTTCATACATTTTCATTCTTCATACATCTGCATAAAACTCATATGTCTTCCTCGCACAGAAAGCTTCCAACCATAGTCTAATAAGGTGATTCCCAGATGCTCACAGTGAATTTGGGATAAGATCACGAAGCAAGTGTAAAGTTAGCTACAACAATGGAAGAAGGTCAACAAGCCACAACTGAAGACATCATTACACCTCAAGAAAACACTCAGGCTCTACTTCATCCTATACAAGCTTCAATGGAGAACCTTGTTGTGCAAGAACATGTAGTTTCTCGAGATGGGTATACTCCATCTCATGAATCTACTGAATATCATAAATTTGAATTACCTACGCCAAAACCTCAAGGGGAATACCTAATCATGAACATTAAAAAACCCCAAAATCTTGAGGACACCAAAAGATACCGCATGCTGGAAAAGAGGCTTAGCGCCATAGAAGTACAAGATACTCATAGCTTTGATACTTCTGCTTTATGTTTGTTTGAAGACGTGGTATTTCCTCTGAAATTTAAGATGCCGGATTTTGAAAAGTATATAGGGTCTAGTTGTCCTAAGACCCCTTTAAAGATATATGTTAGGAAAATGGCAGCATACCCACGCGACGGCAAATTGCTTATTCACTATTTTTAAGACAGTCTTAGTGGAGCATCATTAGAATGGTATACACAATTGGAAAGAAACCACGTCCCCACCTGGAAAGACTTGGCTTTGGCATTTCAGAAGCATTATAAATACAACATTGACATAGCTCCAAGTCACGCGCAGCTGCAAGATATATCTCAGAGGAGTAACGAATCCTTCAAAGAATACGCGCAGAGATGGAGAGAATTGGTTGCTCGAGTACAACTGCCATTATTGGATAAAGAGTTGGTAGACATGTTCATGAGCACCCTACAAGGACAATACTATGAAATAATGTTGGGAAGAATGCTATCACGCTTCTCTGGCCTAGTAATAGCTAGGGAATGCATCGAGAACGACATCAAAACCGAAAAAATCTGAAGCGTCTGAGTAGCTCGACTAGTGAATCCCTTAGATATTTCCAAGAAGGAAATGAAACAAATTCTATTTGGGGAACTTACCAAGATCCAAAAACTTTATCTCTTGCGCTCTATCATCAATATTTGTATGCAGTAGATGCTCAATACCAACAACTACCCTCTGGTCTTCAACACCAGTGGCCAGGGCCTATACCTTAAAACTAGCAGGCTAAGATTTCACCTCAATGTCGATGTCAAAATCGACAGGTTCGGAATCGAAGCAATTACCATCAATGCCTAAATCAGCATAGGCGTCCATACATCCAAGAAAGGGAAAATTTCCAGTTCGACCTGATCCCTATGACATACAACCAATTATGGTCATATCTGGTCCAAAATTCATCAATGACCCCTAGATAAACCAGATTCATGAAGTCTTCATTTCCTCCTTGGTACAACCTGGATGTTCAATGTGTTTTTCATGGGCGAGTGACGGGGAATTCAATCAAAGAATGCAACTCATTCAAAGAAGCGGTACAAGAGCTGATTGACAATAATCAATTAACTTTTGCATAAGATGACCCGCATATGATGGAAAATCCCTCGCCCTGATGGGTGGATCATTACCAGAGCTTATCTCCAGAATAATTAGGATTTATCATTTCAAATTGTAATTTCTTTCTTGTTGGGTGTTATTTGTTATGAACTTTGTACTCTTTGGTCAAGTAATTCTAATAAAATAAGCATGCATGTTTTTGAAATCGACAAAAAAAATCAACGACTTTCTATTTTTCACTCTTTTTTTTCATTTTTCAAATTAACAAAACTTCGATGGAGAATGATGAAAATACAAATTAATCAAATTTTTATGACGTATGCTTTTTAATAGTAAGGCCTAGCAGATGATATAAGGTATTGTTTCAATTCATAAACAGTGGAGATATAAGGTGTTAATACGTGGTTAACCCCCCTCGAGCCAGAAGTCGGAGCTCTTTCTATTCTCTAAAAAAAACCTTAATCTTAACCAGGGGCAGGGTAGATTTCAATTAATTCGATGATGCATTCAAATCCTAGGAGAATCAAGTCCATCCAAGGAAAGGCTCAAACATATCTTCTTCCCCGATACATCATTAAGGAAATGATCTAAGCAAAGGTCCAAGCACATCATATTCCTCGCGTTCATCATCCAAGATTGGGGAATCAATGAAAACAAAATCCAAGACGTCTTCTTCCTTAATACATCATTCAAGATCAAGGAAACAATAAAGACAAAACTTACAATAATCAGCACGACAGTCACATTAATTTTCAAAACCAAAAATGAAAGAAAAAAATTCAAAGAAAAAAGGCGAAAGCCCGCTAATTCAACATAAATCAGCACATGACTTAGGAAAAAGTTAGGGAATCCCGATGGATCGAAAAAAAGGAAATTCAAAAAAATTCAAAAAAATCGGTCCATGCAAAAATAAGGGATTGAAAATAATAAATTGGAGAACAATCTTGTGACTGCCACCTCAAGAATCATCAAGGCTTCTAATCAACGCTTGGATCTTATCAATGCTTGGATCTTATCAATGCTCATATCTTATCAATTCTTTTCATCGGTGCTTGGATCTTTTCATACGCTTCTCATCATCTGTGCAACTACAAAACTTCTCTTGGGGATTAAACGCATATGTTGGATTAATTGAACTTAGGACTGGAGAACATCAAGGAGAATGGGGTGGGATAAATAAATTTTGAGCCTTATATCTTTTGTTTCTTAAACCAAGAACCATGGCCACGTTACAACCTTTAAAAGTCCTAATTGAGGCTAGGATCACTATGAAAGCATACTCGGTGAAATTTGTGTTAAACTGACTCTTAAGTTTGTTAAATTTATTTCTAACTACTTCGCTTCTTCGAATATCCATCTTCTAATCTTCAACTTATTTTCAAATAATAAATTTCAAGAACAACATGTGCATCAAACAGAATTACTTTTTCAAAATGTACAACTTTATCTACAAATCAATACTTAGAGTCAAAGAAATCTCGAATTTGGTTTGATCAAAATCCATCCTTCCAAGAAGCTTCTAATTAGGGACAAGGCATTTTAGAGGACTCCTATAAATAGGGGCAAACATTAATGATCATAGGGGTATATCACATGAAGATATTGTTGACAAGAGGTGAGCATTCTGAGGTTCAATCAATTTGGATCAAATTTCAAAGCACTGTTCAATTAGGAGCATACCCTTCGATGAAGCATTCCTTAGTCAAGTCATATCACAACAGGGTATGACTCGATTTCCTCATGTTAACAAGCTTCTCAAGGCATTGATGATTAGGGGAAGCCTTCCAAATTAAAATGTTTGAGCAGTATGTATTAAGTTCACCCTACTGCACGTAGGGTCCAAATTCTTCAAGCAACTTTGAGTACAAACTTTTTAAAGCTTCAATTACTTAGGGAAACCTATGACAAGTTCATGGCAAGGTCTAAATTCCTTCTAAGGATACTTCCTCCAGATCTTGGAGATTAAGGGGCATGTCTTTCAAAATTCGAATGTTAGGGCAAACCACTGCGAGGCTCGATAAAAAAAGGAGTTGATACAAAAGGGACCATCCAAGCCAAGCATTTTTCAAGATTTATTTAATCAAGGACATAATGCAAAATAGTGGGGTCATTCACATTATGGTCAAAATATTTCAAAGCTCATATCCTCCAAGACCCTACCAAAAAAATTAGGGAAAAACAGTCCATACAAAAGCAAGCTCTCTTCATACATTCACAGTGCTCTAGGGGACCTCTCTTTTACGTCAGCAATCTTCGAGTTCGAAATAAGTATTAGGGAATCATGCAAGCACAACACTCAACCATCATGTGACAAGAAACCTTGTTTCATAACCAAACCTCTACGCTTTAATCATCCACGACCCATCAAGGGGCACCATAAAAAAAAAAGCATTCAAATCATAATCATAAAGCATAAGGCTGCATAAATCATGCATTAGGGTTTCCTCGATCCAAAAACCCAGCCATACTTATCATCTCATCCATCTGACGAAATCTGACAGCATGGGTCGAGCATACCTCAAAAAGCCCAACTACGCATTCATATTTCAAAATCCAACATCCATTCACACATATCTAAGTTACTTATCATGCATCAATCAATCAGACATCAATCAACCATGCATCAATCAATCATGCTTCAATCAATCATGCATCAATCAATCATACATCAATCAATCGTGCATCAATCAATCATGCATCAATCGATCACATCAATCATTCATTCCAATCGAAATGTGTGAGACATGCGTATTCTCGCACTATTCAATCGAAATAAAGGCAGCTGTCATACCCCACATTTGCCCTACCCTTATTTTATATTTAGAGTTCTTTTTAAAATAAATCATATTATATAATTTTTATTTCTATAGGGGGTGTAAAACAACAGAGAGAGAGAGAGAGGTGTATCGGTCCAAAATGGACCATCAATATCTGATGGCCAATTTAACTCTAATAAATTTCCATTTTAAATTAATGAGGAGGTATTTATTTTAAAGAAGGTGTGGACAAATTTGTTTTTATTCAAGGTTCAATAACCGAAATAGTCTGCCCCGTCTCAATTTTTGGGCTTTATTTTGAAAAATGTTTTGTCATATCATTTTTGTTATTATTACTATTATTTTTTTATAATAATTATTAATAATCATATTAAAAACTTAGTTAGAAATTAATTTCTATTTATTTGATTCAAGGGGGAGGTGTTGATAAATAGTTATCCTTTTTTTTTAAAAAGGCCCAGCCCAAATCGAGTTTTTTGTTTGGCCCAAAGGTATAGAAGAAAAAATTATTGATTAAACTGTTTTGTTAATTTCTAAAAAACGCGGCCCATCACCATTCAAAAACCGCTTGGCCCAATAAATCTAACAGAGGCAAATCACAATTCAAAATGTATGGCCCAAAAACACAACAAAACTATTATTGTTCAAATCATAGGCAGATTAAGCAACCCCTTTTCATTCTCTGTTTCAGAAATCGAACGACGTAATGTAAAATCAGTAAATGCAGAAATAAATCTTCTTTCATTAAAACAAAATTAAGAGTAAATAATGATAGAAATTGAATTGAATTTATTACCAAGAGCAACATAATGATATTTCCTAAACAGCAAAACCTAAAAAAATAAATTACATCCAAAGCAAATTATTTTGTTTCCCAAAAATTGCCTTCCTAAATCACTATAAGAAGAACAAAATTACAGCAAGAAAAGGGCGGAGGAGGATATAGATCAAATTTGTAGAACAAAAACAAGAAGCTCTTCCTTCCAATTCGTCCCTTTCCGTCAACCCCATCCCTCACCTTCTTCCGTCAATCTCCGAACAACCTCACTCCGCCTTTACTCCCTCCGTGCTACGCCCAGCCACCCATCTTCCATCACCTTGAACGCCTCACTTCCCCTTCAACCTTCACATAACCCGTTATTCTACAACTCACCCTCTCCGTAGCTTGTTCCCACACTTGATCTTCAAATAGAACCTTCACGGTCAGCTTACACCAACAACTGCCGAGCAACCCAGGCTACCCAACAACCATCAGCCCTTTTTTCTGCCGTAACTCCATCGGCCATCAATCCTCACACAACCCACAAACCTCTGAGCGAACCACGACCCTCCGCCACTGAAGCTCAACAATGGACCACCATCGAACTGTTACAGCTCCCACACGTTCATGCAGACATCCATTTTTGAACAACCTCTCTCTACCTTTACTCCCTCTACGCCCACGCCTCTACCAATCTGAAATCGCAACCTTCCAAGCGCCCGGATTTCGTGACCACCGAAAATAGAGAAAGAAGAAGGAGCAAAATATTGGAAAAGAAAAAGAAAGAGGATTGTGTTTTAAGAGGAGATAAAATCTGAGTTTTGTTTCTCTCTCCTATATTAAGGTGTGGTGTTTTATTGTTTTTTTATATTTATTTTTTTAATTAAAATGACACGTGTTTATATATTATTGGATAAGAGGTTATAACTTGAAAGTTCCAAAGATTGAAGGGAAAGACATCCGTCGCTGCTTCTTTGTTGTTGCCATTTTCTTTTTCTATTATTCTTTCTTAATTGTTTTATAGAATTAAGGTTAGTTTATAATTGGGTCGTGGGCCTAAGTTTTCCATCTCTTATTCCTTAAATTTTTAATACACCCCCTATTTTAATCATACACCACTAATCCATTTTTTAAATTTATTTTAGTCATTCTATCTAATTAAGTTAGTTTATTCACTTCAATTAACTTAATTATTTTAATATTTTCTTTTAATTGTTAATTAAAAACAATAAAGAGTCTAAAAAACAAAAATAAAAGATCTTTATTAGATTTATTATATTTTTTAAGTTAATCTTTAAATTAGAAATTATACGTAAATCAATATATTTTTTTCTAACTTAATTAATTCAGACATTTCATCAATAATGGGATATCTATCTTCGAATAATTAAATGGGTTTACACATCGTCTATTGATTTATTATTCAAAATTAAATAATTAAAATCCACGTGATTCACCTAATAATCTATCTGCGAATGACATGTGGAGGAGGGTTGCCTAACACTTTTCCTTATGAACAAGGTAGAGGAGGGTTGCCTAACACTTTTCCCCCTTTAATTGATATTTGATTTGATTTGATATTTGATATTTGATTTGATTTGATATTTGACATTCGACCAATTAAAGGGAAGGACACCTAGTATCCTTATGATCTACCATCGTCTATTTGATATTTGATTTGATATTTTACCATTAAATATATTTTGATATTTGATTGAAGGGAAGGACACCTAGTATCCTTATGAACAAGGTAGAGGAGGGTTGCCTAACACTTTTCCCTCGTCTAGAACCGAGTCCAAACCTAGAATCTCTGAATTTCTTTTAGGGTATCCTTATGAACAAGGTAGAGGAGGGTTGCCTAACACTTTTCCCTCGTCTAGAACCGAGTCCAAACCTAGAATCTCTGAATTTCTTTTAGGGTATCCTTATGAACAAGGTAGAGGAGGGTTGCCTAACAAACACTTTTCCCTCGTCTAGAACCGAGTCCAAACCTAGAATCTCTGAATTTCTTTTAGGGTTATTCCTTTATACTCCCTTCCTTTAGGATAAAAATTAAGGGCGACAATTCTGATTTAAAAACCAGTTGTAACATATGGCTCATAAGAAAGATTCATCTACAACAAGCTTCAACGTTCAACATTCAAATATTTGAAGCCTCTGAAGATAAGAAAAAAGTTTAAATGGTTAACGTGCCATGTTGTGCAAAAGGTACATAGAGTGTCTGTGACATCTACCATCTATGGTGGCGTAAGGATAATCCTTTATATTGTATTGACAACCACTCTCATTGTGACAATTGGGAACAAATAGTTGGATTTACAACTATCTTTCTTTACTTAACGAATTTATGTTTACAATATTAATAGAAAAATATTATTAAGAGGAAAAGGTGGAAAGCTATCATTGAACAATGACAGGATACATAAATATTATTTTATATTGTCTAAACTCTTACACCTTATTCTATCTCTTGGGAACTAATTATTGGTGTAGAAAAAGTATGTTTTATCCTCACAACATCTCTCTCTCTCTCTCTATCAAACGCTATAAAATAAGATCAAAGCTTCAAAGATAAATTGTTGGTTAGTGGTTTAATTGTTGCCATTGGCCAACAAGCTTCATCATGTGGAAGGAAAGCAGTGGACTCTGAAGATGTTAAAGCTGCAATGTTATACATATTGAAGACCACTAAAAGAAGAGAGAAAATAAAGAAAGAAGATTTCAACAAGATGCCATTCAAATATCATCATATGCATCTTGGATGAAACATAAGAAGCAAGGAGATGTTTCTCGTAGCTTGCTTAACAAGAATATGAAAAAATACTACAAGATGATACTTAACTTATGATCATATACATCTTTATAGAACAATGTAATGAACACTAGAGTTGTTGCTAAGACGGTGTTTCCATTCGTATCTCTTCATGTAAATTGTTTTAACACTTGAGTTGTTGCTCGTAGAAGTGTTAAACAATATATGCTTAAATGTTTTGTGTAATCTGCTTAGAAGAAGTAACCATGTAAATACAAAAACCCTATCAACTATTGTTGATTAGTTCCTTGAGAGACTAAGTGAAAGTCTGATCTCAAGAAGATAATGGCTGCTGGTTATTTTGGGAAATCTTGATAGGAGATTTTACGGGATCAGATTCTATTGGGTCAATGATTGTTATATCCAGCTGGATCACTGAACATATCATTGCAAGGTTCCTTGAGAGGTTGAGTGAAGGCCTAATCTCAAGAAGATAGTGGCTGCTGGTCATTATAGGAAATCCCAATAGGAGATTATGAGGAATCGGATTCTGTTGGGTCAATGGTAGTCATATCTCATAGAGGATCGGGTGAAGATCAGACTCTTATGAGATCCCTGATGGATATCATCTCAAGGGAATCCTAGTAGGATATCCCGAGGGATCGAATTCTATTGGGTCAATGAATGTCCAATCGGATCCCTGAACAAGTCATTGTATGTTAGTCACTGGCGGTTTCCTGTGCGATTGTAATCAGTTTGGTTATAGTGGATAAATCCTCTGATAAAGAGAAATCATCCTTTCAAGGATGGACAAGAGTAGCCTAGTTAACAACGAATCTGGATAAATACTTGTGTCCTTTATCTTTATTATCTTTATTGCTATTATCATTTGAGTGCAAAGAATTTCTAATGGGGAATGTTTTCTATGAACACCATTCAAACCCCCCTTTATTTTGTTTTCTCTACCTTCAATTGGTATCAGATCCTGGCTCTATTATTGATTTAAGATCAAACACTTAGCCGTGTAGAGAGATCCAGTAAAGAGAAAAATTGTAGTTATCTACTACTCAAATGATAGAAAGCTTTTCTAATTTCAAAACCCGTTCTGTAGAAGATTCAAAAAAACTGGGCTAGAATCAGAAAATTTGAAGACATAATCTCTTAAACAAGTTCTCAGGATTCTAAAGGCTCAAGTACTTGATGGAAAGAGATTTCATCTTCTCATTCAACAGAAGTTTTCCATCAGAGGCAAAGTGTTATACCCCAAAATTTTCCCTCTCATGTTTTCCAAGATCTTTTCTTATATGGGTGGTTACAAAAACTTGATTAAAGAAAAATAAATTTTTTGAAGATGAATAAGGTGTCTTTCGATTAGCATCTTGACAGGCTTCGATTGGGCATCTAGATCCTTCAAACAAGCTTGGTTTCAAAGTCTTCGATTAGGCATTTGGAACTCTTCGTTGCAGGTCTAATTCACAAGCTTCGAATGGGCGTTGAGTCCCCCTTCTATCACGTTCAAATCACAAGTCTTCTACTGTGCATTGGCTACTTTAGGCTTACCTTCGATTCACAAGGCTAAAGGCTTCTACAGGTTCCTTTCAATTCACAAGGCTAAAGGCCTCTTCAAGTTCCCTTCAATTCACTAGGCCAAAAGCCCCTTCATGCTTGCTTTGGATTCACAAGGACAAATGTTTCTTCTATGATTGCCTTCAATGCATAAGGCAAAGAATTCCTTTGCGCTTGCTCTCAAGGCCAAGACCCCTCAACGCAACTTCTACACCATGACACACAATATGACCCCTTTGAAAGAGCACTCCAAAATCCCATTCGAAGGACACATATTGCTGGCCATTCGAAAGAGAAACATAATCACTGAAAGCAAGTTTATCTTATGATGAGTCTTGGTCCTACATGTGGCCAGGCCCAGGCTTCCTATGCAATGACATTCGAAGGAAGTGACGGAGGAGGCTTCTATTGACAGAATGGAGTTCTCACTTGGGGGTATTTGAATAAAACAACTAAGGCAAATAGATAGGTCCAATCTAAATCCATTTGAAGGACACATAAATGATCCATTCGAAGAAGCAATTTAAAGGCCCATTCAAAGGACACTTAGTGTTGTCTGAAAGAAAGGGGCTTGGTCAAAGATTAGATCTAGTTGGCCAAAACGAAAGAGAAATATGCAAAGATGCTGGCTGGACCAAAATCCCACATATTTCCATACTCAAGCTCCCTGCACAAGCATTCATACTGAAGGAAGCTTTGATTATCCTAGAAAGAGTTTTCGTTGGGGCTAGCTGAGTAGGGGCTCAATCGAAGAGGCCCCAATGATGAGACTTGAACCATTCGAAGGAGACAATTCTGGCCCAATCGAAGAGCAAGGATAAGGGGTATTTCGAAGGCATGATTAACAAGTGTCCTTCAATTGGCATATCAGAACAAGATCATGTAATCAATGCAGAAGCTGACTGGTCGAAGAAGCTCTAATAGAGAGGTTTCTGAATACTTTGAATCAAGACTCTAGGCTATTCGAAGGAGGCAATGAGAGTCATTCGAATGAGGGCATTCGAAAGTTAAATTTGTCCAGGTTCATAGCAAGGGAAAAGAAACCATGTCTTTGGCAAAGTTTCAAAGTGACATTCATGGCCTTTAAAACACCAACTTTATGGTTGTTTATTAATTTGTCCTCTTGTCCCCTCCATCCCCTCTATATAAGGAGCACACTAGCAAGCTTAGAGGGAGAGGACAAAAGGGAGAGGAGACCATATACACACACGTATTGGAGACACGCTATCCCATAAACCACCCTCAAAGCTAGCAAATCCTCATAAGTGGTCCCAATCGAAGGAGTCTTCAGCAACACTCTATTCACTCCCTAAAGTCTGCAGGAAGTGTTCCCAAGCACTAGCTAAAAGCCACGCATCAAGCCCACCAGTCCTTGGTAAAATTCTGTGTCACAACCTTTCGATTACTATTTGAATTATTTTTATATGCATG